CCAATATGCTGATGGATCAAAACTTACACGTGGCATTCACATTCTCCAAAAAATCCCTTCGCCCAGGATTTTTCTTCTGGGAAACTGAGAAGTCTCAGAGAAAAAGGAAAACAATTACTATCTCATTTGCTTCTCCTCTGTTTTGCTCATGTGGAATGTGTTTGGACATTGTTTCATTGGTTTCATGTGAGTTGTTTTGACTCAATGGTCAATCAGGGCCAAGCTGTGTCGAGACTCTGGAAAGAGTCAAGAGTTTTCATTATTACCTTTTTCATTATTACCTTTTTAGCGTTCAGTAAGTATCCCTTCTGTATTCTTTAGTATAGTATAGTATATTATTCTTTAATATAATATAGTATTATAAAGTAATAAATTAGCCTTCTGAGAACATGGAGTCAGATTCATCATTCCTCCCTGCCACAAGGGCCCATGCAAATTCAATACTTATAGAAGTGTGACACCCCATGACTGGTCATCCATTTTTGTAACTATCTTGGGTTCATCTTGGGTGTATGCCTGCCTGGGCTCTTGTGCTGCCCAAGGTGGATCTACTGAGATCTCCTAACAAATCCTTACTTTATTCTTTAGCTCCATCTAGCCTCTGTTCTAGGTCAGCCTTCACAAGGCATCAGGAGAAGGAAATTACAAGAGTCTGGCTGTATCCTAGTCCCAGGCCTCCCCTGTGGAAGCCCAGGGCACAGGTAATATTTCTCTGTCTGCTCTGGGGTGCTCTGGCTCCCAGGGGAGCACTGACTTTGACCCTCACTCCTGGAGAAAGTTCCCTAGACTTCAAGATAGACCAGAATCCACAAAAGTCTGAAATAGATTATAGAGAGTAGTGTATCACTTGGTGAGAAATTTAGGGTCTGGGATTTTTAGTATGTTGTGGATGGAAGTGGAGGGCACAGGGTGTCATCCTGGATTTCTTCTTCATGCTGCTTCTTCCTCCTTCTTCATGGGTTTGGGTGGCATTTTGTAATTGGGCAGAAAAGTCCGCATTGAGGGCTCTTTGGGATCAGTTATTGGGTTAAAAGGGGAAATAATCCAGGTGTCAGTTCTTAATTGGATAGTTTAGTCTTCAAAGTCCTTGGAACAAGAGATTGTTGGCCGTTTTGTGCCTTCTAATGAAAAGCTGCCGGACTCGTGGTTGTGAGACTGTTTTACTGATAAAAATAAACACTTGAGTCCAAATGTGAAATACCACCTCAAGTGCCTTCAATCCAGACCCTGACAACTGGTACAAC